AACAGGTAAGTAAAATTTATACATATTCTTCACTAATAAATTTAAAATAAATACTAACCATTCTTTACTCATGTTTCTTTTAGATTTTTAGTCTTCATACCACGATCATCTGCAAAAAACAAGAAAAACAAAATAAAAACTTGTGAAATTTATTCTAAACTTCATTAATATTATCCACAAAATAATTTGATAAAATTTATATCAAATGAAGTAAATTAATTTATAAATTGTTTTCCCAAAAGCAGTAAATTTCATAATAATGAAAATTTGTAACTTAACTTTTCCCCAAAACTAGCAGTAAAATTAAAATTCTATGTAGTAAATTGATAAAGTAAAAATGCAGTACTAACCTTTTGATATTTTCATTCACTCGCACAAGAATTCTATCCAAACTCGCACAGCTCGCCCACAAAGAATTGTTTAAATAATGAATTTTAGTTTCAAGTTTTCACACTCAACAACTCTAACATACAATAACAAGTTTCAAACTTTCCTTTAACCCGGTTGGAAAGGAATTATATACTAAACCAAACTAACCAACGCAGCTAACTAAACACCACAAATCATAAAATAACAGCATGACTAAGAAAAGAAAACCAACAGTACCCAAACCGGATTAACCCAGTTTAAAACTGGATAATTTATTCTTTTGAAGACTATTATAAAGTCTAAGAAAGAAATAATAAAACACAAAAAAGTCGAAAGACAAACCTATAACAAAAACAATTTGATTTTTGAAAAAAGGACACAACCAACGGAACATAAGAAAGACCACCATAAGCTCAACATAAAACGTTATCACATAACAGGACCTCTCACAGAAACCGCACGAAATCATACTCCCACTCCTGGCCTAACCCGGCCTAACCAACCAGAGAGGACGTCCTGAGCATGCTCTATAGCCGGCCTAACCCACCGCGCTACATCCACGCTTTGTGACCACACTCCTATTTTTAATAAGAGGTACTCAAGGGTGAGTAACTCTTCAAAATAACCGAACTAAAACAAAAAGCTTTTGTGAAAACAACTAATCAAAATCATAATTAAAACATTGAACTAATAAAAATTTTATAAAATGTAAAACATACTTTGCAGTATATAGATCAGCATACAACAACAAAGACGAACATCCAAAGACAAAGTGATCCCACTACACTCGAAAAAGAATGGCCAACCACAACCAAAATGCCGTCCACAATCACAACTCAAAAGATTTAGAGTACGACTTGACTTCGCAGAAAAGAACTTCATTGAACTAGACCAATGACCACCTCGATGTTCAAGTATACGTACAGATCCGAGTTACAAGGCATCCCCTCCACGCACAATCTCCACGCCATTCCCAGACGCGGCTGAACACAAAACAAGTTCTCTACATAACACAGAAAAACCCGTCATTGTAAACAATTTTGAAATCAGATTGATTTCGTTGGGAAACACAGTCGTTGTCAGAAGAAGATACACGAAGAAACGATGTTCGCCCGATACCAACGTTCATCATCCACCCTTTGAATTGCAGAAAGATAATTCTAAAAAACACTGTAAAACCCGGATGGGTGGAACCTGATCTAAACTATATTTTATGATTGGATAAAATAGATATTTTACCACTGTAAAGTATTTAATATTAACCAATCATGATCCATCTAACTTACAACCCACTTATTTGTAAGTGCTGAAATTACTTGTAATTTCAGCACCAGAGAGATTTGAATTTAACTTAGGAATTAGTTGTCTCTCCGAGAGAACTTCAGCAGCCGCAACAAACCAGTATACCCTAGATCTATTGAGCCTAGCAGAGACTAGTTAAACACCCTGAGACTAGTAAGTATAAGAGTAAGACTAGGATCGGTATTAGACTAAGAAGTTGCACGAATCTATCCGGCCGAAAATAAGATAGCGTGACGAGCAGACGGTGTACCCTATCCGAAATTACTCTATGAGTTAACCACATCGGTCCTAACTCATTAAACAGAAATCAAAAGCCAAAATGCGAAACCATATTTGAACGTAAACAACTTTACAGACTATTTCCGAGATAAAAAGGAAAAAAAACAAAACCTTAATAATGATTAAACAAATTCGCTCATTAACATAGAAACAAAATTAGAAGAACTTGAAACACTAGAAATAATTCGCTCATTAACAAAAAAATAAAAAAAATTCAGAAAGAACGAACATAGGCAACAAAAACTTGAAGTTTTTTTTCACTTATTAATTTATCCAAAAATTTAGCAAGAAAATTTGAATTGAACATATAACATAATCATAAGTCAAACGGCCAAAAAAAGCGGAAACAATTTTAAGACTTTTTCCGCAAAAGAAACATAAGAACCAACACGACCTATGCAAGTGCTTTCACCGCGTTCACTTACGCTTAATATGTTTTATCAAAAACCGAACATTAAAACAATGTTTAGTTTGTAAATCAACACAAACACGAAAAAAAGAGTTAGCAAATCAACAAAAGAGAGCCAGAAAAATGCAAAAATTATATATACTAAAAGTTATAAACCTAATTTAGAAGCCAAGCTCAAATTGCACTTCAAGATTTAAACATCTTGCAAATTTAAAAACGAAACTTAACACAACAAGTGTTCCATATTAACAAAAGGAAAACTAAAAAACACAAGACCCGAAACTAAAAACTAAAAACTTCGATGCATGCCAAAAACTGCACTTCTCACACTTTAGAAACAAATGTGAAACATGGGATTATAAATTTGAAATTAAAATATGTACACCCACCCCCCCCCCCCCCCAAAAATTAAATTTTGGCCTCTACTAGCCAATAAAAATAAATGAAAAATGAACATGTATACAGTTCAGATAACCGAGCAGATACAATTCGGACCAAAAATGAAGTTTCATAAAATCTAAGACTAATGATAAACAAAATTTGAAAATTTTAGGTGAGTATATAAGTCCAAAGACTGTAAATACTGGTTTTGATTCATTTTTTAAAAAACGATGACCGAAAGTTCATAAAAATTGAAAAACTATTTTTGATAAAAAAAACTGACTACAATCTTTTACAATGAGTTTAGACTGGTAAATTCTCAGAAGGTCAGTGTTAAAATTTATAACGGATTGAACAACACGAAAAAATAGGTTGCGAAGAAAACCAGTAAAAACGCTACCGAAAGCCACGAAATCATCAAAATGATTATTACGGAGCAAAAAACTAGTTTCGCTCAGAATATACAATGTGCTTTACCTCCACGCTATCTGACCAAAAACTGTTAAAAATTGGTCCTCTTCTAGAAACCAAAAAAAAAAACAAGGATGGAGGTTTTTTCAAATTAGTGTCGTTTTTTTCGGCGTGGTGCGATAGAAGGAGCTGAACAAAAAACTGGACATTAGCTATATTCGACATTCATAGTAACACCAGCAAATTGAAAAACAATTTTTGTAGAAAAACTACTTGAAAAAAATCAAAAAAAAAAAATTTTTTTTCAAGGTTTGCAGTTTTTTGACTTTTTGAAAACTTTGATTCCAAAAAGGCGCTAAAATACTCAAAGTAAACTAATGTTACTCAAGTAAAACTAAATTTTACCGTTTTAAATTAAGCTATTGTAAGCTTTTAAGCAGGTAAAATAAGACTGCTGGCTCACTTTATTCGCTCGAAATAAGACGAAAAATCAAGTATTCAAACCGGTTTTTCTCGACACGGGGAAAAATGTTTAAAATTTTTTAATGTGGTCCATATCACGACTGTAAGGGCTTTATCACGATATATCACTCAATCCAGTCCGATGATTATTTGCGGTACCTGATTTTGCATGAAAAATAATTTAAAAAAAACTAAAACACCCGAATACAAAGTTCCTCCCCATTTTCAATGGTCGGAACAATAAGAATAGCCGGTTGTTTGGCAAGTACCAGAGAACGTTCTAAGTAAGATCGTGGTCGGAACATTTTCCCGGAACACAAAGGGAAAAACTAAAACCGAAAAAAAAATTATTCTAGGAGGTGAAGAGGCGTCCAATTGTATGAAAACCCAAAATTTCTAATCGATAAAACATCATTTTTTGAAGTCGAAGTCACGTCGAATAGGGCTTCAATATGATAGCAGACTTGACTTTTAATGAGCTTTTCTTAGGCGGAAAAAACTTCGTGACATGTTCCGAGACACAATACAGCTAATGAATGCAATTCGACAGCTCAAGACTATGTTATATTAGAAGATTGCAAGAAAAAGATTATACCTGCAAAAAATTAATGATAAGCATTTTATTAAAATATTCCCAATAAAAAAACTCACTCGACAAACTAGATTCAATAGAGACAATAATTTTTTGCTTGTAGCCTGGGTTCAATTTGGCAAATTTTTGTTCGATCATTTTTTGCTGAGGCAGCCGAAAGAAACAGCCGAAAGGAAGCATCACGAATTTCGATACACTTGTCTCAAATAACAACCTTTCGAGAAGCAAGTTGACCATTGTTATATTAGCTCTAGCACAAATTACAGAGCAGGAAGTCATAGATGACATTGATTTGGCGGATGCCGATTGAGCTGGGGAAAAATTGTAATTAAAAAAAACTTGAAGCAAATATATATTTTTTAAAAGTTTCGTGTCATCATTGGAGCACAGAAACGCAAAAAAAACGTTGAAAATCTTTAACCAATTATGCCAAAGGCGAATAGGCTTCTTTGGATGAAATGTTTAAAGCTTATGTTTTATTTTGAAAAATCAGAAAGTTTCCAACTTGAAAAAAGATCATGATTCAAATTGATAACGCTTTGGTCAAGCAGGTCACTAAATCAAAACAGAAAAATCCAAGCTCTCAAAACCCATCCAACACTCGCCAAATAGATTATAGACAAAAAAAACTGACGGTTAAAATCAAAAATCAAAGAAATGACCTTTAAGCTGCTCGAAATTGAACCGAAAAAAAAACTAACTGATTGAAGATGAACCCAAATTTACTCATCTTGTGATTAAAATAGTTCACGCGAAAAAACCTAAGACGGATATCCAGGGCTTTGATTGTCCTACCTTTGGGTTTCCCATAGAAGTGTCCGGGAACTACGCTCATCCTTCACGAAACCAACAAAACTGTGACCTTGACAATGAAGTTCAATCAAAATTTAATCTAATTTACGTAACCAGATGCAAAGTATATTCAATCTGAATATATACTACTCGTTATCTGAACCAAATAAGGGTTACTCCAGTTCATAAGGGATATCTATCTCTACTTAATCTTCAAATAATGGCTGCGTTCATTTGTATTACACGGTTACACGTTTCATTGTTCACAAACTTTCATTTCAGCTCTGAAAAATTAATTGAAAACAAAATCATAAACAGCTACAAAAATTGGGTAAGCTCATGAAATTGGATCTCTTAACGGTCGCAAAGAGACTCTTCAACGTCTACTTTGAAAGCGACCAAACGCTAGATTTGGATGATTCGCTCACACATTCACACTTACCTTGAATGTTTTTGAAATTTTCAGTTCTTGGGTGTTATTCCGGCTAAATGATTTTCAGATGAAAAGTAAAAAGAACATGTATTCAAAACGAAATCAGATAGCGCGGATGAAAAAATCCTGTTTGATTTCCTCAGAAACCTCAAGGCAGTGCAATTTATACGATACATTTTATCAACACGCAATTCATCTACGCTTTCGATTATCTGCAAAACTATTACACAGAGGCGAAGCTGTGCTAGCAAACACTTGCTAGAACACGACCAAAAAGCAGCTATCAAGTCAAATGTTGTTGTTGTTAGCCCACGCGGGTCGGGTTGGGCTCTTCTGTCTCCAGGTCAAGGAACTTAGCAAACTCTACCGGCCGAAGCCACAGGTCTGCTGGGGTGAGTGGGGAGGGGTTTTGGGAGCAGTTGAAAAGGTGACATGTTGTGTGGGGGGCAAGGGAACAGGTTGGGCAAAGGTGGGAGATGGAGCTGTCGAGGCGGGATAGGTAAGTGTTAAGGAGCCGGCTGTAGCCAGACCGGAGTTGGGAGAGCTTACAGCGCGTGGGACGTGGGAGAGATTTTTCAGAGGGGTCAATCTTTGGGGGAGGGATACAAATAACTTTAGACGGAGGGGTTTCGGCTAGGAACTTGGTTACAAGGGAGGTATGGTTGTCTTTTAAAATTGGTTTGTAGTAGTTAAAAATAAAAGTGGAGACTTCGTCTCGGTCGTCCAGAACTAGAGGGTGGTTTGCGTAGACTGAAAAGTCGGTTAAAATTTTCTGGGTGTCTTCTTTGAAGCAGCTTATAATTGAGGGGCGAAGTAGACGGGGAGGAGGGGGATGTGAATGTATAAAATTAATGGGATGGTGGGAACGATAGGTAGAGATAAAAAATTGAGATGACAGAAGGGTATGGTGGTCTTTGACCGTTAGGATTTCAGATTCACTGTGCAGGTGGGCAGTGGAACTCATTAGATTTGATCCAGTAACAACGCGAAGGGATTGGTTTTGGGCAACCTGCAGGCAATTTATGGAGGTGTTACTTGATGCGTGGGACCATGCGGGGGCTGCATAGTCAAGTATGGGGCGAATTAAAGCTTTAAAAGTTAGGAGGAGGGTTTCTTTGGAGTGACCCCAGGTTGATCCTGCTAATGCCTTCAGGATTCCGATCCTGCGTCTGGCCTTTTCAGCGGATTGTTTGCAGTGAGTGGCAAAACAAAGTGTTGGATCAAATGTCACCCCTAAGATTGTTGGATTTTTGTTTAGGGGTAGCGCCTCGTTATTTAAAAGAACACTAGGTGTTTTATTAAATTCTTTGTTATAAGAGGAGAAAAGTGTAACTGATCCTTTAGAGGACGCGAAACTTAGTTTGCGTGAGGTGAAAAAATCGTAGAGCCTTTTTAGGTAGCTATTGATGGAATTTGAGGCGATATCAATATTGGAACTGCTTGCGAAGGGGTGGAAATCGTCTGCATACGAAACAAGGTTTACATTATCGGGAGGTGGCGGTGCATCATGGACATAAAAATTGAAGAGTGTGGGTGATAAAACAGAACCTTGGGGTACGCCACAGTGGATTATTCGATGGGGGGATGTGTGTTCACGGAATGAGGTGGCAGCTTGTCGACCATTAAGGTAATTACTTAGCCAGCGGACTAGACTTCTTGGGAGGGGAGTGTCATGAACGAGTTCCACAAGTGAGCGATGACACACCATGTCGAAAGCCTTAGATAAGTCAAGTGTGGCCAGTACCGTACGTTTAGGGGGGCGATTTTGGTTAAAACCGTCTGAAATGTAAAATTCGAGAGTGGAGAGAGCTGTGGTGGTGGAGTGAAAAGGGCGGAAGCCGTGTTGGTGTTTGGCGTTGGGGAGATGTTTGGTAAAGATGGGGTGAACGAGCCTCTCCAGAATTTTAACTGCTGGGCAGAGTAAGGATATAGGTCTGTAAGATGTTGATTGTTTAAGATCCTTATTGGGCTTTGGAAGCGGTGCAATTTTTGAATTTTTCCAAATTTGGGGGATAATGTTTTCGGACAAAGAGATATTAAAAAGGTATGTTAAGTATTGAGTAGCAAGTGGGCCGAGATGTTTAAGGTGTATATTACAAAGGCCGTCGGGACCTAGCGCTCGCGATGGTTTGCTGTCTGCAATGGCTTGTTTAGTATTTTCAGGGGTAAAAATTGGGCTGTCTGACAGCGGTAGTTTGGCAATTTTTCTTCTCGTTATACGAAGGAGTTTGTCAGAGGCGTGGGGTCTGGCATTGGTGAATTGTTTGTTAAAAGAGCTGGTAATATCACGAGGTGAGTGTATGGGTTTAGAACCAAAAGTAATGGGGTGTCTTCCTGCCACGGGCTTAGATCTATTTAAGGAGCGTACCACTTTCCAGAACTTTCTGGCACCAGTGCGGTAGTCGCAAGTCCGGAGGAATTCTCGCCATTTATTTTCTTTGTCCTTTGCTGTCTGTTTCATGAGTCTACAGTTCAGTTGGGATATGACTTCTGGGGGGAGATTTTGTTGTCGGCTGAAATCTCTTTCGGCGGCAAGGGCAGTGGACTCGGGGGAAAGAGAGGGAGTGAAGTGGCGAATACGGCCAGCGGGGATGTGGTGGCGTGCTGCCCTGAGCACCAGGTCCCTCAAGAATTTCTCTCCGGCGGCAACTCCGGAAGGTGGAACCGCTGAAAAGAAACCCTCCTCAATTTCCTCTGTGAATTTGATCCAATCTGCTTTTAAAAAATTTATAAAAGTCCTTTTAGGTGAAAAATTTATAAAATCATCCAAGGGTAGTTCTAGAAGAATGGGTAGGTGATCTGATCCTAGAGATTTAATTGGGGTCCATGATGTGGAGAGTAAGAACGATTGGGATGCGAGGGAAATATCTGGTGACGAGAGTTGGTTTTCTGAGTTAAAAGGGACTCTGGTTTGTGTGTCATCATTTAATGGTGCAAAGGTGGATTCGGTTATTTCTTTGCTAAGTACAGAGCCGCGTTGATCTTCCTCGATGTTGGAGTTCCATAGTTGTGAATGTGCGTTGGCATCCCCGAGTACTAAGGCGTCCCCAGGTTCAAGTAGTTCGGCAAGGGACGCAGAGTAACCAGGGGGACAGCTCGAGCGAGGGGGGATGTAGAAATTATAAATACGAAGCTTGGATGAACTGGCTACCACTGATATGCCCATAGCCTCTAGTGTTCCATCGTTGTTAATATTTATTTCTTCGTATTGTATCGACTCATGTATGGCTATGAGGAGACCGCCCCCTTCTTTTTCTCGATCTTTTCTAATTAAAGTGTAGTGTGAGCCTAGTGAGGGGTTTCGAGATTTCTTTCTTAATTTAGTTTCTTGGAAGACAGCAATATGAATTTGATTTTGAGATAAGAAAGCAGCAATTTCGGGTGCTTTTCCGGAGATACCGTTGCAATTAAATTGAAGGATGTTTAAAAGGCCTTTGGCGGGGTGTGGTGAACTATTTACATTATTAACAGCAGTATGATTAAAATGGTTGTTTGTACTTGAGTTATTTACACTATTTACACGATTACGATTTGCGCAATTTTGGGAGGAGGAATTTTTATTCGAGGAGGTGGGAAGGGTGGGAGGTGGAGGGGGGTTAGGGAGGTGGGGTTGGGGGGCGGTTAGGGAAGTTGAACAAGTTTGGGAGTTGGGGGTGGTCAAGTTAGAGGACCTGGTGCCTGGGGGAGGTAAAATGTAGGTAGAGGTACAGGTCGGGCAATAGTAGTCAGGGTGGTGTTGGTTAAGGTGGGTAAGACCACTACATTTAAGGTGAATGTAACCACAGATGTGGCACCAGACACTGGGCTGGGTGCGTTTGATGCGGAAAGAGCAAGGGGAGCAAAAGTAAGGCCCTGGACCAAGGTTTGGATTAATGCCGGAGCGGAGTAGTAGTATAAGGATGAGCAGACGGAGCAGCCTGGCCGGCTTCAGACGCTCCGTAACCGAAAACCCGGAGACTTCTGAGCTTCTCCCGACCCAATGGGAGGGGGGGCTTGACGCCATTTGCATCTTGGTGGGGCCCAAGATGTCGGATCCACCACTGGAAGGCGGCGTCGTCTGGATCCTCAAGTCAAATAAGAACAGTGGAAATAAGCCACGAATTAGCACAAACTCAAATACGTGTCGGATTCGAATCTTCAACCTAGCAAATTTGAGTCTCACGGACTAACCACTCAGCCACGGATGCTAACAGTCCCCAAAAACTAGCCACCAATAACGCAGCTACATATGCTAATAAATTGCCAATTCGATGCAGCAAAAGTAGCACCAAATACAAAAATACAATTTTGCATGTAATAATTTGGAAAGCATAAAGCCAAATTATATATAAATAATGCATTTCAAAAAGTTGCGAGATACATTGACTTGGAAAATTTCTGAAATAGAACTTTTTATAATTGTACTGCTGTTTGAAACAAAAATTTTTTCGGTTCATTTGATGAATTAAAAACTCATCAACTGTGTTAACTTTTTACTAATCACCTTTATTTGCGACTAAGGTAAGTGTTATGAAAACTCATATGAGAGACACTTAAAAGAACCAAAATTCCGCAAATAAAGTGATGTATAATAAATTCAGCAAAAAAACTCCAACTTCAATTAAGTTTTAGCGAGGGTTTCTGATGTCTTCAAGCAATTGAGCTGATATGCTCTTCGCCATTGGAGATTCAAGGGACGCGTCGAAAAATTCATATGCCTCAAATGAAAAAGACTCTGACAAAAAAGTCTCGCACAAAACAAAATTCTCCATTTTTCTCTTATTTCCAAAAAAAAAACAGTTTACCCAGAGGTTTTTTTTTAAATCATTTAAATTTCATGAGGTATAGCATGGCGGCACATAGTTGGAGGAGAAATAATGAATCCGTACAGCAAAAACCAGACAAAGCCAAAAATGTTAGTGAACTCAATTGAGTAAAAAACTCAAATTTTTGGAATCGAATAAAAACATATAGAAGTATCGAATAAAAACATATAGCACGTTCAAAACTTCGAACTTTTGTTAACTTTTATGATTGGCACTTTATCATATAAAAAATCATTTAGGTAACACAACATCGAAAAGTAACGTTTTATCAGTAGGGTCTTCTGCAATGAAATTTTTTTTTGAAATTATACACACGCTTTTTCGCGCCATTAACAATTTTATTATAGGAGAACATTAGCTGACTTATTAGCAAATGAATGTAAATTGAACAAGTTGAAGCTATTTTCCAGAAAACAACACTATCTAATAAACAGTCCGGAAAAAAGTCAATGATCGCAAAGACACGGAAAAAAAATTTACTTTGGAACTGAAAAAAATATATGGCCTTAAAGCTTTGAGTTTTAAGAAAAAAATATCCTAGGCACTTTTAAAATTAAATTAACTCAATTTGAGAAAACAGAATTGGTAGGTAAAGTTCTAATTTCGCTGGGAAATCTATATATTTGATTTCACTTTCGAAACTAGAAAATCGATCACGTTTTTTCTCGCAATTTCCATGTTGGTATTTGGATGTCGCAATTTGATTGTTTTTTAGCAGATGAATTTCAATTGAACTCAAAAAGTGCATTCATATGTTTATTTAACTGTTTCAAGGCACTCCAGTAGAAATAAGAGCATATTAAGACTTTTCCTGAAAAAAAAATTAACAACAAAAAATCAATGCGACCTAAACAAGAGTCTGAAATACGTTCATCGACTGTTAAAAACAAAAATCAACAATATTATTTTTCTCTCTCGTTATTATTTTCTTTCTCGTTATTGGTACCTATTGGTATACTGTTAATCAAATAGCCAGAGAAGGGTATCTAGACGAGAAACTTGAATCTTCAGATAACAAATAAACTACCATTTTAAAAATAAAATCAACAATGATAACATGACGAAAACAGAAAATTAGCCGACGAAATAAGGCGCAAACTACGAATCCCAAAAAATCAGTTGGGAATCGAAACAAAAAAGCTGCTATAAATGAATGAAGTTTTTTTTTGAATTTTCAAGAATTTGAGCATGTAAACCTGGCGTGAAATTAACTGCACGTATTTCTTACTGATTTTTAAGTACACTCGCGCTCGCCATTAACAAAAGTAAAGAATTTTTTAATTTTTTCACAAATTCAACAACTAAAACTAGAGGCCAGCTTAAGCTGGAAAAAAACCTGTTTGATAAACTTTATGTACTGATGCGGGATGAAATAGGTAATTTCAAAACTTCAAAATAAAAATTTGAAAAAAACGGCCAAAAAAAACAAAATTTGACTTTTCCAAAGGCGTAACTTTTTTGCCTAGAAATATTGGAGTGTAGCCGCTCATGCCGGAGAGCTTCCCACAACCCATTCTACTCATCGAAACAAAAGTCTTAGAGATGGGAGAGCAGTTTCCGAGAAAAAGCCAGTTTAAAAAAAACGGTCGAAACCTCATAAGCATGACTTTTCCGAAGGCAAGCAATTTACTCGTAAGAAATGGGCTGAGCCACTAAAACCGAAAAGATTCCCGCAACGCACATCTCAGATTTGGGTGGGTAGTTTTCGAGAAAAGTCAAAAAGTTTCAAAAAACGGTCAAAAATTTGACTTTTACGAGGGTCATAATTTATTGTATAAAAGAATTTGGGCGTAACCGCTTCTGGACTGGAGCTACCCACGACACGTCCTTCCGATTGAAACTAAAATCTCAGATTTGGTAGGGCAGTTTTTGAGAAAAGTCAAAAAGTTTCAAAAACGGTCAAAAAATCGTAAATTTGACTTTTACGAAGGTCTGTGAAAAAATTTGGGCGTAACCGCTTATGCAGGGGAGCATCCCACAACCCATCCTTTTGATTGCACCTAAGATCTCAGATTAGGGAGGGTAGTTTTTGAGTTAAAAAACCAACAATTTGGGTCCAAAATCCCCCCACACACTTTTTCGAAGGCTGTAGAAAGCGGGGTAGGGTAAAAAGAGACTAGTGGATTATGCAGGCACACAGAATAGTGGATGGATTCCACTTTGGTACCACTTTTTTGAAAATCAGTAAAGTAGTTTTTGAGAACTAAATTTTGGAAAAAAATGACAATTTTTCCCGAGGCGTCTCAAAGAAAATAGAAAAACCCGATCTCATACATTTTCATAATACCTGTTTTTATCAAACAGGAATTGCATTTATAACCTTTAAAAGTCATTTAAAAAAAAGTGCGCAAAAAGAATTGATATGCCGATACCAGTCGCAGATAACTAAGTAGCCGGAAACAGGCAATTCGAAATTGTCCTCAGGATTATCTTTCTTAGCGGTACAAAACTAATAAAACTTCTTCGCCTCGAAAAACGCTGAATTGATTAGCCAAAATAAAACATTTACGAAATAGAAAATTTTTCAGCTAGAAAATCCTTATCAAATTTATCGCACCAATTTCAATTTTGCAGCGATTGGTGCGATTCGTGCTTCCGCGTTGAGCATGATAGTTACGAGCATAAAAAAAGCTGACAATTTTGTCCAGCAAAATGACTAACTACCGACGATCTAATCTCCATTTGTTCATAAATAATAGTCACAGGTTCAATATCTGTTTACATTTGAAAGCAAGGGGTCGATACCTTCCAATGCGTATAAAAACCACTTTTTGAAAAAATTTGCTCTACAATGTGCGATTGCTTTAGAATTAAGAGGAATGATAGTATAAATTTCCGCTCGAAAGCGCACTTGTGAAATGAGAAACACAAAAGCATCCGCTTATATTAAAAAGACTACTAAGACGTAGTGAAGTCTCAAATCTCCCCTTACTTTGTGTAACTACAAAAAAAAGCTGTAACTTTAAAAAAAATTATTTCAAAATATTAAATGACAGAGTTTCCGGTTTCACAAACAACTTCAGGTCAGCATTCATCATTGGTTTTACAACACATTCCTCAAAATTAGACTCATTTTCACCAAATTCATTTATTTTGACATTCATCACATCTGCATTAGACCAAACTCGGGTAATTCTAGAGTTCAGCTCGGATACACTTTTGCCAATGTCCACTTTATGCAAATCTAATTTCATTTCAGGTGTTGAAGAAATAACGAAACTCAATTCAGTAATCGAATCGATATTTTTAGCAACCAACGCGTGAATTTTGATCAACTCTTCCAAAATAGCCAGATGTTCTTCCGGCGAGTTCTTTTTCAGTGATCGCTTCTTCCTGTTCAGCTTTCGGCTAGATGAAGCTGAGCTCTGACTGCTTGATGTGCGTTTGGAGGTCTTCGAAATTGTAGAGAACTCTGATATGGTTCCGTCGCCGTAGGCTCCGATTTCTGAAAGCATACTCTTATTAGACCTGTAATAACTGGTTTACACATCACCTTATTATAAAGCTCAACTGAACTTATTCATTGAACGAGCCATACTGCAGAAGCCAAAACAAGTTCCTGCGAACCGAATTCAAAAATCATTATCTTCATTTCCTTGTTCACTGAGATTTCCACATTGAGATTACGAACATTTGAGATCTCCTAAACCTGTGAATTTTGATAAAGGAAGCAATGAATGGGATACGTTCTAGCGATGTGGATAAATTTATCGCCCGCACCGAAAAAACAGATAATACGGCTCTAATGCGGATCTAGGATTTTCTCGAGGGGGGGGGGGGGCGGATTTTCAAAAAATTTTCGAAAATGTTGACCTTTTTTAGGTTGATGTTCCGAGCTCTCCTAAGGCACTAAAAAGACGCAATTTTGGCCAAATTTGCCCACTTTCTGCGCCGCAGGCAAATTTTTGAAAAAACAGGTCAAAAACGCCTTTTTTGGGCACTTATTGGAAAATTTTGACAAAAAAATGCGTTTTTTTGGCGCGCGCTCCCCCTCAAAGTTAGTGTATATTGGCGCCCAAGGGAGTCGGTCGGCCAAAAATGCATTTCTTAAAACCCTTTGGTTCGGCAGGGGGTCAAATCCCTGAGGGGGGGGAGTCCGCCTTTCCTTAATCCGCCCCTGATGGGACAGTAAAAAAATCAAGAAATACTGCCACCTAGAATTAGTACCTGGATCTTGCAAACTGAGAGCCAGCCACTGTTTTTTCTTCTCAACCACCTCTTCCATCCGATGGGCCAAAGACTCCACCTCCCTCACCTTCTCTCCAACCACAACCACCAATTCACTGAGACCAGATTCCAAACTGGCCATAAGCACTGGGACTAGCTGGGTAGTGCGTTTACTTTGCATCACGAACTCAGAGGCTAAACTCCAGGCATTGTTTCGTGTTAGGAGCTCCAGAGCCGACTCCTCGTCGAAACCTATCCAAACAAAAAGATATTGGACAGAGCCGAAGCGGATACAACATAAACATAGAATGAAAATTTGGACGACAGGAAATGAGACGCAGCCAATGAGTCGAAAAAAAATGTCAAAAGCTTAGTCTCCATTTGACTTGAATGAAGTTCATTTCGAGAAAAAAATTTTAAGTCAGGCGATTACTAGTGTTGCATTGGCATAAGAATAAAATTTTTCTGAGCGTTAACTGAGCCGACAAAAATTGGACAGACACTCGTTAATCCGAAAAATTATATTGATAATTTACTTTAAGCTGTGAATGAACTAGAAACTGGAACTTTGTAAGTCCCCGTCCTCGAAAGACACATGTATGAGAATTTTTGCACATCATAAGACGCAACATGATGAGACTAAGCCAACATAGTGTAAGCCGAAACCTTTTAAGCCGAATAAAGCGAGAAAAAAAAGCTGATTAAACAAATTAGAATTTAATTAAAACGCAAACATAGCAAATGAACTTGAATGGAACTCAAAAAGTGCACATTTTCCTAAGTCATTCAAAAATGCAGTAATGTGTATGAATGCACTAATACGTTGTTATGGATGATTTAAAGACTTTCCTGAAAAAAAATCATCACGAATTAAATAAGAGTTTGAAAAGACGAAACCACAGAGCTCACAAAAAGATTCAGTGATTCTATTACAAAAGTTACACATTGTTAACCTGTAAAACATTACACTCAGAAAAATTTCGCGTGTACTCCGCAATTGTAACAGAGGCAAAGCGGACCTTCGCATCCCTTGCCATACAACGCAAGCCCAGCAATGCAAGCTAGCGAATAGAAAATAGGACGAAAATAACAAAATCGAAAAAATATACAATCTGCGAAAAAACTAATTAAATTCAGAAAAATAGTCAACAAACATCTTAAAATAATACTTTAATTTTTCAATAGTGGTAGATTTTTCAAGTTGATAAAAAGTTAATTGAGCCAAAAATGACCGCTCATTGAGCCAAAAACAAAAATATGGCATAAGAAATTGTTGACATACATTTTTTTGAGTAATTAAGTTTTACAACTTTGAACTTTTGCAAGACAACCTCCCTGATTTTTAATCGACCATTTTTGACCTTAAAGCGGCACAAACGAAGGTATCTAAGCCGACAACACATGAGCCGAAGGAAACTTTTAAGCGAAACAAAAACAATTACAAAAAATGAAAATATGCAAAGTCAGGGCTATCAATTTTATAAATTACAGGAAAACATCAAAAACACTTGAATCTCCGGCGAAAATTGCTGAACGGACAAAAAGTCTGCAAAATGGCAACTATGCCGACAAAACATTAGCAAAAAATTAATTCTATTTTTCCCGGAATTTTTTTTTAGAATTTCATACATTCTGCAACAAAGGTCCGCCTGGGACTTGAGCCTCAAAACATAGGGCACAGAGAGAAACGTGTTACCTCTACTTCAAGTGTGAAGCAGTCCCAAAATTCACTTATAAAGTAACTTAAATTTCAACTTGGAGTAAAGTAACTTCAATTTCACCAGATGTAGGAAAAGTTGTACATGGGAAAAAGTCTAATTCCCGATTAAAGACACTAGCTTTCGCAAGAAGAAATATCGAACACTGCTTCATTTTTTTAGATATAAGGAAAAATGATTAATTATTTTTAGAAAAATTGAAGAATCACTTCGATTATTGACATTTCGCTTCAGAAAGAAAAAACAATCTATTAATTCTCCAATAGTTGAAACAACCACAATAAACTATATACAAACCTGACATAATGTCGGCAGCAGCTCTTAACATTCCCATCGATTCCAGACCACTCACTAACTGTTCCCGCTTTTCAAAGAAATCAGGAACATTTTTTGCATTCAATCTCTTGAACTGAACCAATGCAAAATCATACTTTCGAGCTGCACAGAATGCTTCAAACGCATCACTAAATTTTTTCAATTTTGCATACAAACAACCTGCTTTCAATAACTTTCCGTCTTTTGACAAAATTAGGGCGTATTCTTCTGCTGTAGCCTGCCATTGTTTAGAACTCTCAGGTAAAAATAATTCCAAAGCAGCTACGTAAAGTGAATGCGTCTTCACGTATTTAAAGACCTGCTCGAAGTTCGAATTGATCTTATGAAGACTTTTCAAAGCTTTTTCGTGATGACGTAAATAATCGTCAATGTTGAACTGAATTTCGTCTTCTGATTTGCCTTTAAACAAGTTATTTATTAGTGGAAGAAACTCTTTTGGGTCTTTTTTGGACTTTTCCAACATTCGAAGCACCAGTTGTTTATCGTACATTGAAAGCGCAATGTCGAATAATTTGTCAACATCTACGAGTAGTAGAAAGAAATCCAGACCGGCGGTTTTGCAGTTTTCAAGACTGTCGTGTTTCTTAATCAACTCAAGAGCACTTTTCGGTTGTTCCAACTTCACATGGAGCATTAAGAGACTGAGGTAGTAAGTCTTGAACAGATTTTCGTCGTTATGAATCATTTCTATCATGCGAGTACATATTCTTTCCACTTTCCCCGTAGTCGGAACTGAAACAAAGGCAATTCGAATTACTTTTTTTTTCTGTCTGGTTGCCATTATTCTAAAACTAGAAATCAAGATGTAACGAAAATCAAACGACAAAAAAAAAGAAATGGAAGTGGTGTTCAACCACCTCACAGCCCAAAGTGTCCCCTTTTGATACAATTTCACGACATCATTTTTGGCTCAGACCCTAAACTTTCCTTTGGCTGACAGAACCTAAATTTTCTTTTGGCTGACCGATCCTAGATTTTTCTAAGGCATCTTTGGCGTCAATATATAAATTTTGAGGGGGATGCACTCGCAGAAGAAAAAAACGTCTTTTTTCAACATTTGCCTGCAGTGCAGAAAGTTTTACCAAGCTAGGGTCGTTAGGGTGTCAATAGATAGCCCGGGAAATCAATTTTGTCACTCTAAAAAATCTAGATAAATTAGATAACTATGCACTAAAATATGCGACCGTGGGTTCATTCTGCGATCATTCTGGCAATATGTTATAGCAAGGGTAGTATCAAAATATCAAAAACAAGTGACGGGGGCATTTATTCTTGAATCAAATTTTAAAATGGGTTAACTTACCTGTTGTGTTGCGTTTGAACTGCAGCTGTGATGGAGTGTCCTTCAATTCCGAGATGAACAAATTTAGCAGGTGGTGTGAATTGACAGATGACAAAAGAGATTGAAGAGAAGACAAAAAGGCGGAGAAGTCACCGTCACAGATGATGTTCATATCCAGTCTGTGCTTCTCACACAGCTAGAAACGATTCAACAGCTTTTCATGCACATCAAAGCTTAACATTGCTTTCATTTTGTTTCGGCTTCAATTTGCAAAAAAATACTATTTAAGTTAATCAGAAGATCATACCTTGAAAGCTTCCAAGAACTGTTTTTCCTGCAATTGCTGCTCAATAAGATTAATCAACAGAGGTTTTGGATGTATACACTCCAAATTTCCTCTCGGCATCTGAAGCAGCACTGAAGTTCCCTTCTGTACAACTCCCGATATCTTTGCGCCTCTCTCAATTTTTCTTGAATACCATTGGCTGCTATCAGTTTTATCTGAACCAATCAGATCGTTCAAAGCTACTATAAATAGACGGTGTGATAGAGTCGTGAACAGAAGGAATTTGTTGGTCTGAATTGAAAAACTAGTTGCCTCTTCGGAAATTAAAGTTTCATTTAAATACAAATAGCGATTATTAGCACATCCAAAAATTATGCAAACTTCATTGACAACAAATGTTTTAATATGATTACAAGGCTTGGGAAACTCAGTAGAAATAAAACTCAAATCATTTCCAGATAGCTTCATAATTTTTCCACTACTTAGAGAAAGGTAAGCTTCATAAAGAGTATCGGTAACCAAATCACTGGAAGCTGCTAAAGCGAAGCACAATTCATCTGAGGGCAAATCGAAAGTCTTTTTCACTTTAACAGAACCCGTAACATAATCTAGTTCAAGTAGTAAAACCTGTTGAGCACTAGTTTCGTTTTTTGACTCAATTATACAGCAAATGATATTCTTAGTCAAAGCAACCCAATTAAATGGGAGGAAACAAATTGGCGACAACAAAGAACTGTAATGAAACTTTTGGAGCAATTGAGGAAAATTTTTGTAGTTGAAGGTCGTCTTGCCATAAGAGAATTGTCTATTTAAAACACAGCCAACAGGGATATCGGATACGCACTCAAAAACAAGAATACTTGACTGAGTAAAAAGGAAAAGATTGATTCCGCTCATACATCGGTACAAAATAGGCTCCTCTAAATCTATTTCATAAAAACTCATTGGCGGTGGAACTATCAGCTCATCATATGGAGTACACATTAACTTTGCTCCGTTTATAACAGCAAATACTTCAATAGAAGAACTTTCCAAAGAGTCCTCTTCAAAAATCCATTCGAAACTGTAAATGCATGAATTTTTCAAGGCAATTGTGAGATGGTAAGGCCTACTTGGATCTAACGCATAATCTGCACATTTTTCAGGAAGATTGTAACTTTGAACAAGATAATAGAGATAATTACTTCGATGGTATATTTTCATTTCAAATTCATTTTTTTCTATCGAGTCGCCGGTTTTCTCTGTGAATACGAACAACAGCTCAGAAGTAACGCTGTAGAAAATCTAAAAAGACATATACCATTCGATCAAGCTTCTTCAAAAGATGAGAGCTAATAATAAACAAGGATAGCCGGTTACTGTGCAATTGGAACAGAATGTTCCGACCATAGTTTTAGAAAAATACAACAAAGTTTTTTCGGCGTGATGTTTTTTCGGTGTCGTGTTTTTTCGGCGTGGTGTGATGAAAGGAGCTGGACAAAAACCAGGAGCTTAGGTATATTTTACGGTCATAGTAAAATAAGCAAATTAAAAAACACTTTTCTAAAAAAAATTTTTTTTTAGAAAAGTTACTTAAAAATGAAAAAAAAATAGCACAAAATTTATTTTTTCCAGTTTTGCAAATTTTTGAACTTTTGAAAATTGTGATTCCAAAATGGCGCTAAACTACTCAAAAAAAATCAACGTAACTAAATTTTTACGTTTTAAATTCAGGTATTGTATACTTCTAAGCAGTTAAAATAAGACTGCTCGCTCGCTTTATTCGCTCGGAATAAGACGGGAAAACAAAAAATTCAAACCGGTTTTCTCGACACAGGAGAACATTTTTTGAAATGTGGTTCGAATCACGGCTGCAAGAGCTGTTATATGATATATCACTCAACCCAGTCCGATGATTATTTGTGGTACCTGATTTTGCGTGGAAAACAGAAAGAAAAAACTACAACACACCCGAATACACAAAAAACCAACCTTGTATACACAAACACACCCGAATACACAAAAACAAAAAACCAAAACAAAAAAAACAACCTTGTAGATGGCAGTATTCTTGTTTTGGTCGACAACAAAGCTCCCGTGATTGAGGCAATTTCTCTCAAAGAAATTGACTATGCATGATCCATTGGCGCTTCTTCCATTCGTTGCAATCAAATCACCACAAGGTCTGAATGCGACCAAACTACCAGGGCTCACGTCTGCTTTTAGTTCATTGGAGCACAAATGGGTTCCTTCTCGGTCAAAAATGGAGAGTCTACGTGAGTTAATTTTCTTGTCAAAGTAGCTCACGGCAAAAATGTCAGATCTATCTCTCCATGTTACAGCACAAGGTTCGGATTCCTTAAATATAAAAACTAGTTCAAAGCTATGACGAGGTCGCAAAAAAGATCATATCCTTTATTCAAACATACCAGTGAATCCTCCTCTGACAAGAGAGCTCCATCTCCAGGCTGTTGTTCATTCCTTGCCTTTTGCTTTGCCCCCGCACCTGTGAATTGTGTTTCTTCGGTTCCCCATCCCACATTTTGCTTAATTTCGGACGCAGACGCGAGATTGTTTAGATTTATTTCAGCTACCATGTCGTAATTCGAGTCCAGGATTGTGAGAACTTTCGATTCACTCACCGCTAGTAATAGTGACTCATCTGGGCTCCATGATACATGTTCCAAACTATCTCCAAAACTTCCAACGAGTTTGATATCTAGAGCATAAGTCTTACATGATATCTTTTAGCCAAGCCCAAAGCAAACGCTTAAATTGAAAGACAAGGACAAAGCACGAACAAAACGATAATCAAAACCTGTTTTGCAATAATTTTTATGGTCAGTAAATACCTGCCCTTTTTTCCTCAAAAAGTGCTATTTTTTGAAAATTCGAATGAATTACATCAATAACTAGTCCCGCTTCATTTGATTGGTCGCAGCTGCACATCACACCTCTAAAATGAAGAAGTTTAAACTTCTATTACCTTCATCCAAATAACTTGAAGTCAGCTGCATATCACCATTTTGTCTTATCAGCATGATGGAGTTTTCGAGAAGACAAAAGTGCATTTTCAATACATCATCAAATGAAACAGGTATCTCTCCCACTGGAACACTACTCTTTCGGTTCCAATTTGCTATTATGCCGTTAACAAAAGTGAAAACATCTGAGCTCATCCCACCACATATTCTTATTTCATTTGAAGCATCAGGTGAAACTTCGCTGTGTGAGCAAAACTTCAACTTCAGAAGAGTCATTCTGACCTAAAAACGAGATAACATTCTATAGGGGCAACCGAGAAACATGTTAGATGAGTTTAATTTTGCTGACTAACAATCAAATTGAAGTTTTTATTTCTACTGTTTGTTTAAGCTGCACACCGGCATCGATAGTATTTATACACAGAGGCGAAGCGGAGCTTCGCATCACTTGCGATACCCCAAAAAAGGAATTGCAAGCCAGCAGACAGAAAAGAAAGCAACTGAGTCCCAAAACGAAAAAATTTTTCGAGGAAAACAACTGAAAAACTTCAAAATGTTGTGTGGAATGATAATCTACTTTTCGACAACACATATTCGGAAAACACACATTCGACGGTCTATAGCGAAAGTACCAAAACAGTTTTTGAGATAAGCAAAAATGTTGCCATGAATACCTTTGAACTGTACACTCTATTCTGAGATTTTAGGTCGAAAGAAATTAGATTTCATAATCGATAAAAATACCAAGTGATTCAAGTGACTCTGTTAAACCAGTTGTTAATCTGAAAAGCCTATTTTCCTATTTGATAATGCTTGCTAATAACAGAGGTAAGGCTTCGCTTCGCAAATACTAGCCAAGGCTCGAAATAGTAATAATTCGGCTAAGTCTTGGATTCGATCTGCGATATAGAGATTATGAGTCTAATGTACTAACCACGAAGCCACGGACGATTTGTTTGTTTAACTTTACACTTATTGATCGGTGACTCTGGAGTCAAGTAGGAACGGTTTTGTTAAAAACATCGAGATTATATCGTCAGAAAATTGTATCAAGTAAATCTTATCGTAAAAATGAGACAATTTACGTTTTATTCGACCAAATGTCATATTAAAAATAAATGATTTTGCATAGCCAATTGACTGGGCAAAATTTTTACTGAAATCATTTTCGTTTACTCTGCTTGGATTGTGGGATAAAACTAAAAGGTTAGTTCTTTTTCTATTAGATGCAGAGTTGATATCAATCCATCAACTGTCATAAACTTTAAGCAGATTATTTAATTCTTGACGTAAATTTGAGTTCGACTTTTTAGGAACTAACTCATGACGCCGCCTCCTTTTGCTTTCGTGTTGGATTTTAGCGCTGTCGCATCTGCATGAAACAAATTTTTAACACAGAGGCGAAGCAGAGCTTAGCATCACTTGCGATACAACTAAAGCGTACCATTACAAGCTAATAAATGGTCAGTGAGATGGAAATATTTAAATGGGAAAAACTGAAAATACCAAAAAAGCTATCTCAAAAACAGACAAGAAACACAACCACCTGCAAAAATCACGCTTTTAGTATTTTCCGAGCGTCTACTAAGCTAACAACACGTGGTTGGGCACCAATTGATTCAAAAAGAAAAATGAAATGTTTGTCATAAAAATTCAACATTTTATTTGTAAATACGAAAACAGCAATCCCAAAAAAAACAACAGACGAGAATTACATCAACTAGCATCAAGCAAGCTTTCACTAAATTTCTAGCGTCCAGTAAAACTGCAGCACGTGATTAGACGCCCATTGATCCTAAAACATAACTGCCAAAAGAAATCGTTGTCATAAAAGAATTCGACATTTTTTTTTTGAAAAACGAAAATTCAAATCTCTGAAAGAAAGACGAGAAACACAGCCACGAGCATAACACGAGCTTTTAGTATTTTTAAGTGTTCATTAAGCCCATAGCTCGTCAATCGAGGACAAATATTCCTAAAACAAAAAATATCCCAGCAAAAAAATCTCATAGAAAAATTTGAGAGATTAAAAAGTTTCAAGTGTTAAACTTTCTAGTACCAGTCGAGCTGACTTTAAAAAATCACTTTTTATCTTTATAAACTGATGCGAAATAAGTTCAATAAACCGACAAAACAAGAAACGAAATCAATTAAAGCCGACAAAACAACAGACGATATCTTTTAGGCCGAAAAAAATTTCTAAGCGACAAACAACCAAAAAATCGGAAAATAAACCGGTAAGGTATAGTAATTTTCAAAAACCTACAGGAGTTAATCAACGGCACTTGCGACTATACGAAAAAAGGTCACAGCGGAAAAAAATGTCCGGCGGCAACTAAGCCGACAAAACATAACCCGACAAATCAATATTTCCCGGAAATAAAATTTCAACTTGAGACACTGAAAAAAAAACGTCGGGCCTGAACAAAACCAACTGCATTAACTCCAGAACAATTGCTATGAGGCCTTAAAGTTGCTAAGGTTTGATAATTAGGCATTATCACTTTCGGATGTTTAAGAAAACTTGTTTACGGGGAAAAAAGTCTGGATCCCGACTAGAAGACAATTTCTCTCGCAGGTGTGACCACAACATATTATATTTAAAAATCACAAAACTTTCTCTGTTACGAAAAAAAATCTTACACAAGCAAGGTAAAAAAATAGTGGCAACTAAGGCGACAAACTATAAGCAGACAACCCATTGGCAGATCACTTTTTGATATTAAATATTTTAGGTTTGGAAAAACAGATCCTGACCAGATTCGAGCATAGTCCTTTAGCCGTCCACTAGTACCTATCGTATCCAGTAGTTTAATTTGAATTTACAAGAAATTAAGCAAACTTGGTTGCCGCAGCAAGGAAAGCTGCAGAAATGATTCGGTGAATTTGCTAAACTAGTTGTTAATTGGAAAAAAGTCTATATTTCAGTTTGATAATGCTTGCTAGTCGCAAGCGTAACTACTAAGAGTCCAAAAAATTTGGTCGTTTGAGTCAATTCACCACGTTTCCGAAGAGATAAGAGTTGTGCTTTCACCAATCGTTTTCACAAACGGTTTAAGTTCTGAATGTTTCCTGGTTATGCTTCTGCATTTCAATTCGAATTGTTGTACTGATACAGGATAAAATGCATAATTTTAAAAATTGAACTTCTACCAAAACAATATTGTATAATATTAAATATTTTGAGATATTTCAATTGTCCAAAGAAGGAAACATTTTTCTCACAAAACATTATGGAGTTGCCGCTTCCGCAATAAACAAAACTTGGATCCAGTTCTTTCGATTGAACTCATTGTCTTAATTGAGAGTGCAAAGGTCAAAGGAAACGTCAAAAAATTCAGCAAAAACATCCAAAAAACAGAAGTGTGACTTTTCCGAAGACAATATTTTTCGCTGTTAAATAATGTTAGTTGCCGCTGAAACAAAAATTTTTTTTCACACTTATTTTCTCCAGTGAGACCAGGTAAAAATCTAAACATGTCAAAAAAAACTAAACAGAAAAAAAACTAAACATGTTGTTCAAATATTTCATCCTGAGTTCGTTCGAAGGCTGTGGACAGCGGGGAGGGGGAGATAAAATGAAAAAAGACAGGAAGATCATGCAAACAGAAAAAAGGGTGGTGTTTCTATTGATACTACTTTTCGCAAAAATGTAACAAAACCTTTGAGAAAATGAGAAAAACAAAGTATCGCAATAAGTGAAAAAACTTTACCAAGCGTCTCAAAAAAATACAATTTATGTCGAATCCCATGGTTTATCATGACATATCATTTTATTAAACAAATCTTCTAGGCAAACATGCCAAGTAACACAATTGAATTTTTAATTAGCAACAGAACGAACTTAAATTAAGAGGCTGATTCAAAGCCGTTAATCATTGAGAAGACAACAATTAAATCAAAAATATTTTCATACAAAATTAATTTAAAAAAATTGAAGTCACCTTACTCAAAAGATGTAACATTCGCCCGGAAGTACATATCGACGGAAAATAAAGATAGGTTGTAAAACGACTGGCTAGCACCTAGCGTCTAAACACAGCTCAACATGCATTTAACCGTCTCTACCGAAGCCAGAACTTTGTGTGGTCTTTTTAACATCGGGTCGACAAAATCGTTACTGTTTTGGGCTATTGGCCGGAACGCTCAGATTAACTTAGTTACATGCAAAAATAGTGAGCTCATGGCTGGGTCTCAGTATCCCCAGACCACGAAATCACTCCTAAAAATAGGGCTACTACTTATTTATTACATTACGATTGTTTTTTATCAGTAGATAAAAATCGTCATTACCATCGGAGTTGGATCAACCCTTTCCCTCACTTCCTAGCTTCTCATTATCTGAAATACCCTTCGTCCCAATACCCTTCCTGTTTCTCGAGAAATGTCCAGTAACGACTGTACAGTTACAATCGTTAAAATCAGAATGGTCTTCAAACAATATTCTCAATTGTAATATCAATTTGTGTCGTACGATTTTCGTTCACCTCGTCTATTTCAACGAATATTGTTGTTCTGTTTTCTCTTATTTTTAGTTATCGCGAAATTTCAAGGTCTTGACGTGTCTTTATTTTGAAACGAATTTTTAAAATTAATTACGTCACGCCAAACTGAACATTCCTGATTCGTTAAATCGTTCAATTAATCCTGCTAATCTCTTAAAACTGCCAACTTTCCTAGTTTACGGTCACATTAAAGTTTCGAAGTCGCCATGCATTTTGGCGCCATTCTTGTCGAATGTCACAAAATTACATACCACAACACTTCTAATTACTATGCTAGTTGCTTAAAAAACCTGTGATGTGTCACCTAAGACAATAAAATCTGAGAAAACAAATGAAAGCATGACAATACTTTTTTAATAGGAAAAAATTTCGGGTTTCACAAAATTTGAAACAAAAACTTGTAAACAAAAATTAATTTAGGGGAGAAAAAATCTAGTTACTGATTATCAGACACCTTCACTCGAAAAAAAAATGAAAAAATTAGTATTTTATACCCGGGTCCTTTTTTAAATATCACTTCTTAAACACCACTACAACTATTGATGTGATCTCAAAAAATTAGAAACATTCATTTTCGTTATAAAAAACAAATTCGATATTTTAAAAATTCCTTCCAATTTTCGTCGTTCGAACACAAAGATTTTTCTATAATTGGTAGAAGTAGAATCTTACCTCTTACTTTTAAAACAAACAGAATAGGTATTTTAGATGGCAGAAAAAACGCAAAAACTACAAAGTAGTAAATCTTTTTTTTGTAACAATGTCAAAAAATTGCAT